ATATATATACATTTTTTAATTCCGGAAATAGATTACCCAACTGTAACCGGCAAAACTTAGTCCAAGATTTTGTTGAGGACGCATTTTATTTTGATGAATATAAGAATTCAGAATTAAATTCATGAGCTAAAAAATATATTTGAAATATATCTAATTTTAATTTTAAAATACATGATGTCAAATACATATATTTAGATTAAATTTAAAAACATTGTATTTGGATAAAAATAAACAATACATTTAAATTTAAAATTTCAAATTCAAATACACTCTAATCAGATTTAACTTTGCAAAAAGACTATGCAAGATGTCAAACAAGATCGAAACACGACCTTATGACTTTCGAAATTAATTTTTTCGCCCATCTCATGAGAAAAAAAAGGAGCTACGTAGAGAGCCGCGGAGAGCAACCGTTGTGATCGCTGGAAAGTTTGCCTTCAGCCTGTGTTCTTCGGTTGGGGCAGGTGGATCGAGGCGGAGGAGTATGGAAACGAAGCAGATAGAGTGACAGCTCTTCCACCTTTCGAGGCAATGCTCTCCAACAAAAGAAAGATCCGAAGAGCCACGGAGGCGGCTGGACTCTCTTACACTTTCATCTCCGCCAACTCATTTACAGTGTACTTTGTTAACTACTTGCTCCATCCAGAGGAGAAAGACCACCAAGTCATCATATATGGAAGTGGAGAAGCGAAAGGTATTTATATATGTCAAGGCCTACAAAAACTCAATTTTTTTTTTCTTTTATAACATGGTTATTCGGACTTTTCTCCTATTAATTTCAAAAGCACTTACAAATTACTATACCCACAATTAAATACTGAAATCAAGCATAATGTCTTAATTAAAATGACGAGTATAACCCATTAAAGTTATTTGCACTCAAATGATACTGTAAAATAAAAATATTTTGATAGATATATAGACATCTATTTCACGGAGAGAATTGAAGTTGACTCTTTTTCATATATACATTCAATATTTTGATGCAGCCGTACTAAATTATGAGGAAGATGTAGCAACTTACATAGTCATGGCAGCAACAGATCCGAGAGCAGCCAACCGCCTTGTTATCATAAGGCCTCCGGACAATGTCGTATCTCAACTCAGGGGTGGAGGCAGAAATTTTTTTCAGGGGAGGCAAAATACTAAAATTTTCAAAGTTCAGGGGGGGCTAGATAATTTTTCTTATGCTAATTTGCAAGATTATCAAATTTCAGGGGGGGCAAGCCGCCCCTCGCACCCCCCTGGCTCCGCCACTGTCTCAACTGGATTTGATTTCTTCTTGGGAGAAAAAAACTGGGAGAAACATCCAAAGAGTTCATGTTCCTGAGGAAGAAATCACAAAGCAAACTGAGAGTAAGTTAAAAACAAGGATTATTAATTAATTATTAAATGTTTATGTCTTGTAGTATATATGTTGTAGAGACGACGAGAGGTAGAGAGCGAGAGAGACGATGGGATGACAGGCAAGCACGGGCAAGGCAGACTATTCAGAGCAGAGGGTTTTTCGGTCACGAGAATCAGTTTTCAACTCGAAAGGAGCAAGGAAGAAGGGAACCATGGGGATATGACAGGGGAGTTTACAACCAAGCAACACCCTTTTTCTTCATGAACTTTCCCGATGATTGGAGCTACGGGGATATGTGGCGAACTTTTCTCAAATTTGGGAGGGTTATGCCATTCATAGCCCACAGAGGAAAGGGAGAGAGGGGAGCAGGTTCGAATTTGTAAGGTTTCTAGAGGTCAGAGATGAATGGGAGCTGGAAAGAAGGTTAAATGGGATAGTGATTGAAAGCATGAATCTGAGGGTGAACAGACCAAGATACAATGAGACCCAGAGGGTTACAATAGAAGAAAGTAGGAAAGGAGGGAAGCTCCAACAACATAAAAGCTATGTGGAGGTAGCGAAAGATGGAAAAGAGGAAAAAGAAGGTGCGGTTGAAAACAAAAGAAGAAGCCAAATTATCAGAATAGACGGACAACACAAGATGATCAGAACAGAGGGACAGCACAAACTTCAAGCATGGAAGACCAAGGAAAGAAGCAATAACAGGGCAGGACTGGAACTAAAAACCTTGAAGGAAGATGAAGAGTGGCTCCAGGATTGCATGGTTGGAACTGTTCACTCAATCGAAGTGGTCCCATTACTTCAAGAAAGATTTTACATGGAAGGATATTTTACATGCAAGGTCCGGCCAATGGGTGGGAAGCTTGTCCTACTGGAAGGAGGTGATAAGGATGAGCTAAAAGACCTGGTGGAATTAG